ACCAAACTATCTTCCAAAGTGTCTGTACCATTTTACATTCCCACTGGCAATGAATCAGAGGGAGTTCCTATTGCCCCACATCATCATCAGCATTTGGTGGTGTCAGTGTTTTGGATTTTAGCTATCTAATATGTGTGCAGAAGTATCTCTATATAGTTAATTCTGAAATTCCCTAAAGATACATGAGTTGAGAATCTTCTCATATGCTTACTTGTCATCTCTATATCTTCTTTTGCTCAAGTGTCTGCTAAGAGAGTAGGTCTTAAAAGTTCTCAGCATAAGAAAAAAAAATTCTGTAACTATGTGAGATGACAGGTATTAACTAAACTTATTTTGGTGAGCATTTCACAATATTTACAAATATCAAATCATTATGCTGTACAAATGAAACCAATATAATGCTGTATGTCACTTATACCTAAAAAAAACTTAAATTAAAAAATAATAAATAAGTAAAATATTGTTTTCCTAACAAAAGGAAGGAAGGAAGGAAGGAAGGAAGGAAGGAAGGAAGGAAGGAAGGAAGGAAGGGAGAGAGGACTATCAAGCCACAAAAAAATGTGTAGGCATCTTAAATGCATAATGCTGAGTGAAAGAAGCCTGTCCAAAACGGCTACAGAATGGGACAGCAGTAGAAAGATCAGTGGTTGCAAAAGGCTTGGGGAGAGGAAGGGGGGGATGAATAAGTAGAAAATGGGATTTTTAGGGCTGTGGAACTATTCTGTATGATACTGTAATGATGGCTCTGTGACACTGTACATTTGTCAAAATCCATAAAACCACACCACACAGAATGAACCCTAATATAAACTTATAACTGTGGTAATAATGTATCAGTATTGGTTCATCAATTATAACACGTGTACTACACTAATGCAAAATGTTAATAATAGGGACAGTGGGGGTGAAGAGGGGAGATGGGAACTCTGCTTTCTGCACAATTTTTCTGTATACATAAAACTACTTTAAATAATGAAGTATATTTATTTTATTTAATCCTAAATGTTCATTTCCTAGCATTTCCAGAGCTGTCAGCATGTGTATAATGCATGCACATGTGCGTACGCACACACACACACACAATGTCAATATGGGCTGTGACTTTGTAATTTGGCAACTTGTTGACAAAATTTCGAGTTTGGCTTTCAGTTATTTTAGTTTTGCAGTTCAATTAATAAAAAATTATTTTAGCTCTGTTGTGGAAAGAATACAGATTTTTTATTTTATTTAAAAAAATATATATCTTGCTCAGCTGGGTGTGGCTCAGCGGTTGAGCTTCCACCTAGGATCCAGGCGATCAGGGTTTGATTCCCGGTCAGGGCACATGCCCGGGTTGTGGGCATGAGGCGGTCAATCAGTGACTGTCTCATCACTGATGTTTCTAGATCTCCTTCTCCTTTCCTCTCTCTGAAATCAATAAAGATATATTTAAAAACATATATATATCTTTATTGATTTCAGAGAGAGGAAGGGAGAGGGAGAGAGAGAGAGAGAAACATCAATGATGAGAGAGTCATTGATCTCCTGACTCCTGCATGCTCCACACTGAGGATTGAGCCCGCAGCCTGGCAATGTGCCCTGATGGGGAACTGAACCAGGATCTCCTGGATCCTAGGTGAATGCTCAACCTCTGAGCCATGCTGGCCGGGCTACAGATTTTTTAAATTTAAAACTTAAAAAAAAATTTAAATTACAGTTGACATTCAATATTATATTAGTTTCAGGTGTACAGGATAGTGGTTAGACATTCATATAACTTATGAGGTAGTCCCCTTGATAATTCTAATACCCACCTGACACCACACGTAATTACAATATTATTGACTATATTACCTAAGCTGTATTTTACATCCACATGACTATTTTGTAACTGCCAATCTGTACGTCTTAATTCCTTTACCATTTTCACCCATCCCCCTAACGCCCCTCCCATCTGGCAACCATCATTTTGCTCTCTGTATCTATGAATTCGTTTCTGTTTTGCTTGTTTGTTTATTTCCGTTTTTAGATTTCACATATAAGTGAAATCATACGATAAAGAATGCAGATTTCTAAGGCTAGAGCTGAGAATTTAGGACTCTGAGTGTGCCATTGCTTTTCTTTGAGTGGTCCAGTTTTACACTCATCTCTTGAGTTCATTCTTTGAATTCCTCTTGCTCTTCATATATATATTTTGATCCTGGCCACATGGTTTCCCAAAGCCCTGTCTTTGATGGGTACCTCAATCCAGGTGACAACATGTGGTAATTTACCTAGCTGTCTTTTCATGTAAGCCAAGGGCTTCAGAGCCTTTATCTTTTTTTAAATTTAATTTAAAATATATCTTTATTGATTTCAGAGAGAGGAAAGGAGAGGAAGAGAGAGAGAGAGATAGAAACATCAATGATGAGAGAGTCATTGATCGGCTGCAGCCCACAACCCGGGCACGTGCCCTGACCGGGAATCGAACACTGATCGCATGTATCCTAGGTCAATGCTCAACTTCTGAGCCACGCCCAGCTGGGCTCTATATCTTTATGCCAGCTGAATCTCAGCCTTCATTCCAAACGGGGCCCGGAAACCAATCCCAGATTCCTCTCATTTCCTCACTATGGGTGATCTTTGTTCTTTTTCCTACTGGCCTTGCTGGTCTCATTCTGCTGCCTTGAAATCTGAGATAACAATTTTGGGGTTTTGAGCATGACTTTTTTGGAGTTACTATAATAAAGGTGGACAAGTAGCTAGCCTTGAAAGAAAAGCTTGGACTGTGTTAGGTGTTGACTTTTCTTTGATCTCTAGGCTATTGTAGATCTGCTGTTTGGGTTGGGAGAGATCATTCAACCCATTTCAGTTTCCAAACTGGAGTGGGACAATCGCATCGCTGCCACTTCATCTGTGCATGTGGAGATTTACAGACTATAGACTGCGACCTGGCCCCCTCCACTGATGTCTTATCCCAGCTTCTCAGCCATCTGTGAGGTGGGCAAAACAGACGCAGATGTGCTCGCCTCTGAAGGAAAGAAATGAAGACTTTCCCAGGATCCCCAGGTTGGCCAGTAGCTGGGTCCAGAATCAAATTCACATCTTCCCAGACCCTCCGTGCCGGCCCCCCTGTTAGGAACTGCCGTGATATCCACAGGCCCAGTGCAAGGGTACACACGGATGCCCACTTACCTATTTGAAAGCAACAGGCGGTCTATCAAGTGTTAAATAAAATATATGCTGTCTTGACAAATTGTCACAGTTTGGAGTCTCCAGGAGCAGATACTGACAGAGTTTGGCCTGAAGGGTATTTGTTAGTGATCAACAGAGAGGAAGCAGGAGCAGGCAGAGGGAGAAGTCCAGCTGCTTTGCAGGCCCCAGCAAGCCTCAGCCAGCCCCACAGGGTGGCCTAGGGCATGCCTGGCCCATCAGAGGGTTCCCACCTTAGGCGGAAGGGCCGGGCCACGCCTCTCCTAGCCCTAGGATAGGGGAGCCTTTGGCTGAGGGGTTCTGCGTAGCTGAGCAAGAGCTGACAGCTGAGCAACAAGTCCTTCCTCTCACTCCTCAAAAACGACCTGTTCAGCTCAGGAAAGGGCAGCAGGGCCAGGGGCCCTCCTCTTCCCACTCCTGGAGTGCTGGTCTGCTCATCCAACCTCCATCCACTGCAGACACACCCCTTGGCTCTATGGGCACATCACACAGGGCTCGAACCACCCCGGAGAAGACAGAGGGGCAGGAGAGCCCCAACACCTTGGAATTCCAGGGCCGCCAGTACCCAGGGATCGGTCTAAAGCGGGATGCGGCACTGGGAGCAGGCCGAAGGCCCCTAAAGGGGAAGGCACAGGATAGAGAATACCTTGCTCCAGTCTGGGGTACTACTACTGAAGATCTTACCGAAATGGTGGGAGGCATCAACATGAGACATTGCTAAAGGAAGGCTCTGAATTTCTTAGAGGAGATTGACTCCAGTTAATAGTAAATAAAATAAAGGCTTAAAAATACCATCTCATGAGCACCAGAGATGGTAACTGTATTCGTGGTGTAGCTGGGCCAGCGCTTCGTGTCACTCTCGGGGATTCGTCCTTGGTCCATCAGGCCTTTCCAGGGGTGGAATCCACCCTGCGGGCGTAGGTCAGGGTCACCCTCCACCCCCAGTGCGCCGCCAGGTCCCTGGGGCCGAGCAGAGCCGGGCGCTGTGGGCGCGTGGGGGAGCCCGGGCAGGGCCGGGAGGAGAGCCGCCGGGAGCCAGAGAGAGCTCAGCGGGAGCGGGAGGCGGTGGCGGGGCCCAGCCT